ACACTGTGCAGTTCGACGAACAACGACGAAGGGTGAGACGCGAAGAGCACCGTGGAGTAGGCCAAGAAGACGAAGGCCACCTGTATTTCTCCTAAAATAAATTTTGTCAACATTTTTGTAATAAAACTTAATACATAATATATGAAGTCACTAATTTACTAAATACTCATACAGGCATGAAAACAACACAACTGAAGTTGCAAATGTAACAGTTTTCAGTTACATAGGTAGTACAGACATAAGTCTCCCACAAAAATACATTCTGGACACCATGAACTGAACACACATTACATACATCTTGGACACCCTGAATTGAACACACAATACATAAACATAACAGTTAGATAGACAAACATTAGGCAGAAAATCTGACAAACTCATTACGGAAAAACTTAGTCGAACACACACATTACATATTAATGCATAACCTAATATTGCCGAAGTATAGACATAAACACCTAATTCGCGCTTGAATCGGCAATCTCAGAGTCTGAATAATCCGAAAGCGCAGGGTTAGAGACAAGTTCAGGATCCTCCATGATACCCTTGATAGTCGCAACATTTGGTTCTGTTCTGTTCTTCTGGGCATCCCTCTTAACTAAGTATAGTTGCATATCGCAGGCTAACCTACGGCGCATTTGAGAAATCTCACGTTGTAGTCTTTCACATAGTCGATCAACATTATCAGGATCTTCCTTTTGGATCTCAATAGAATGTGCTTTTGGCACCTTAAGTTGATTTTCCTGACTTAAGGTTTCCAGTTGTACCCGCTCTATAAATAGTGCTGGTCACTTGAGACGAGCAGCGTTAGACAAACCATATCCTATTTGATTGTCAGATGGCTCCATACATGAACCTCCTTGAACTCGATAATACTTGGGCATCAAAAAATGTTGCTTCCCAAACCTATCACGATAACCGCAAGCATAATCTAAAACAGGTATTGTTGTTTCGTCTTCAGCATTGCCACGTCCCCTTCCCTCTCCTCGTCGTGAACTGTCACCCCTTTGCAAGTTCCTACCACCTCTGCGATTCGCACTCCCTCCCATGAATCGTGTAGCCATGCTAATTTTTTTAAACAAATGAATGATAATTTCGTAGGGCGAAATGAGTTGTAAGGTTGTGTCTTCACCTTTAGTCGTTTATATAGTTGGTTATGAATGGCTTTAGAAAGACACTAAAGGAAAAACCATAGAAAATAAATGTCTCTGCATGACAATCCCACATATACGAACAAGGTATGAGTTGTCACTAGAATGAAAAAATAGAGAAAAACAAATACTGTGTACCAAGTCACATGACTTGACAATCCATCTGCATATATTGACAATCCATCTGCATATACGACCACCATCATGGCACAATGTCCAATGAATAGGGTTCATCCGACTAAACCGTCGTTCAACATTCTTCTCGAGCTTGTAGATATCGTCCATAATCTTGTTAAACTTCCGCACTTGCCGTGCAGAACCATCTCTCCACACAAGATCCTTCGCTATTGTATTGCCGAATCTGTCATTGAAATTGCTACATATGTGTCGCAAGCAATACCTATGGTACCCTCTTGGTTGAACTGCTGGATTGTCCCAAATTCTTGACATGACACTAAGCAAAGCTATGTGTCGATTAGATATCAATGTCACCTCCTCTCGGTCACGGCACACATGTTGCCTAAGTAGAGTAATGAACCAACCCAAACTCTGGATCATCTCCTTGTCAACAACGGCAAAGGCAAGAGGTACAATCTTGTTCGCAGCAGTCACTGCAGTGGCTGCAACAATCTTCCCTTCGTATTTCCTGTACAAGTGTGTGTCGTCAATGCATATCACCGGACGACAATACTTGAAGCCTTCTATTGCAGGTTTAAATGCCCAGAACACATAGTTCATGTACATTTCAGTCCGATTGAGGTAGAGTGAAAATTCGGAATCATGTCCCTCATGACAACTGTGCCTGGATTGAATGCCTGCAATGCAGCCATATATCTAGCCAACCTTCAGTACGACTTGTCCCAGTCACCAAACACCATTGCAACTGCCTTCGTCCTTGCAAGCCACGCTTTCTTATATGATATAGTGAACTGAAACTTCTCCTTCACGGCCTCAATTATGGTAGCAATAGGCAATTCTGGTGATATTTGCAAATATAAATTATATTTGAATATATTACAGTCATAATGAAATCCTAAAAACAATAATCTAACATGTCACTTACCGCAATTTGTGCCTTGATGAAATGAGCAATGACCTCGGACTTGAGGTTGCAATTGTCCCTATTCATTCTAGGGTACACACACTGATGCGGCGCTTTAAACCTTCTAATTTGAAAGAAATCTTTGTCTTTCAACTTTGTTGCCCGAACCCTCCAGTTGCAGCCGTGCTTGCACTCGGCCACCCAACTGTTTCCTTTGGATTCTACGAACTTGCATTCTCGATTGCGCTTCAGGTTATACATCTGAACAGCCTGCACTAGTCTTTTCTTATTAGTAAATATCATTCCTTTCTCCAAATGAGCAGTTTCGAAGTCCCACAATGGCCAACGTTCGACAACATCACGGCTAGTGATGGAACCATCATTGTCGAAATGCAAATTATGGTAGAAAGGGATATGGACATTTGGGTGTACCTCCTGCATATCATGATGCGCTCCAACTTTATCATCACCAGAGTCATTGTCTTCACCTTCCCATGCGCCATCCACATCTTCCACAGAATCTTCATCACTTACTCTAACCTCGTGAAAAAATGGCACTGTATCATCGGAGGATGCATAATTTTGGATAGTAGTCTCCGTTGTACGTTGAACATTACAAACCGGTGGACATTCTTCATTCCAGTGGGGATATGGGCTTGTAAGAACCATCGAATTATACGTTTTCGGAGCACTTGGACCTGCTCCGACACTGTAATAACCATCTACGTTCTGTGATGCATTTAATTGATTGTAACTTTGAGAATGATTGAATGGAAGGTAATCTTCAAGGAACATGTGTGCAGACTGTATAAGTGTATTGTCAGGGGATTGCAATTGTGTCGACATTTGAGTGAATGTTCTGCCCACCGGAATTGGCATCTCTGTGCCACCAAAATTGCTCTCCTTCTCCACATAGATTTCCAAAAAATAATCAAGACCTAATTTATGTGGGAGCTCTAAGACATTACTTAAGGTCTCATTATCTTTGATTGGCAGCAACCTATACTTTCCCTAACATGGGAGTCTACATTTAAACTTTAATCGCATTATTTCCCCATGTGTACCAACCTTCGGCACCATCATAGCCTCCAACTCACCCAATGTTATCCCCCTGTGCACATTATACAACCCCTGAGGTTTGGTGTCGTACGACACACCTTCATCGCGATTTCGCAAAATCTTTCCACCCCAATAGAACATAATGCTCACAACTTCCATACCTAAACTTTGCATTCAAAGTAACTCAATTATTTCAAAATAATAAAGTAAGCACATTTGAGCGCAAACACTACATATATTACACAGGAGTGCCTTAGGCATAGGTCTTTTGGTATTACAAAATATTTAAGTGGCATATCGATGTGAACATGGAAATGAAAGTTATTTGCTCCAAATATAATAGCATCCTATATGACTTATATTTCTTGTATTATTTAGAAGGATTATCTATTTGTACATTTAAACAAAAAATCATGTGTGGGATCATTTCTCCAATTATCATGAATTAACATTTGAATTCTTTTGTTGTGATTTGTGATGATTTCTTCATCCCGTCTTATGAGCTTATGTTTTCCTTTACTCTTTGTTTTATATTGTTATGCTTTCCCTTTGGTATTATTATTATTTTTTAAAATAATTTTTTCAATTAAGACTCTTCTTTTGGGCTTTCATGGGTGGGTGTTTTCAAATTCTTTGAAAGAACCTTTCCATATCTTTAATTGACATTTTGTTCAGGTTTATCAAACCCGTTTTCGTCATGTGTTTCGTGTGTAGTTGCTTTCATACTTTGATTTTTTTAATTTCACATTCTATGAAATAGCATGCACATACTGTAAGAACTCTTCCCACAACCTCACTGTGCGCACCATAATTTCTCATTTCATCTTCATGTATTGAACCATCCATGTATGACATTATAACCAATAGGCCTTTGATACAGAAAAACTCTACTAAACTAATTCGTCATACTATAAGAACCTAATTTTACAAGCCCCAATTTTTCATACTATCACAACCTAAGAACTTCCAATAAGAAAATTCTAAACTGTTCACAAGTTTAAACTCTAAACTACCATGCCCACAATTGTTCAGTCTGAAACAATAGTATAAAATATTGAAATTCCAACTTTCCATGAAGAATAAAAAGTATCTTGCCTTCTGAAAACATAAACACATTAAGCTTTTGGGTCAATCGCTAATATAATAGATTCATGTAGCTACAGCTAATCAATTCACGCATGGAGTTACAACACCTCAGTTTAGAAGAAGCTCTGAGGATTGTTGAATACACATTTGTTTTCTTAACTCCGTTTGATTGGGCTAATTACATTGATAAAGAGGTTATCTTTGCAACTTGATAAAGTAAATGCCAGTCAAACAAATGCTAGGTCAAGTGCAAATCAATGACACATAGACCCTTTGAACTTCTTTTGACTAAAAATCACCATAAGAATTAAGACCAACCAAAAAAGATTTTTTGAGGCTTTATTGTGATAACAAATCAGCTACCAATTGTGCTCGTAGTCTAGAAAACCTGAAGGAGCAATGCACTGATTGTTTATTTTTCCCTGCCTATTGTTACAACAATTTCACAATTTCTTGTAATATATTTTTCTTAAAATGGCAAACCCCTTTATCCAACTAAGCATTCATAACACTCAACATATTCAAGTAATTAACTATGGAGAATTTATTAACATCAATAAAAGTTTTTGTTTTTTTTTTCCAAATATTTTCATACACTTTCAAATCCTTTTGTTATTTCTCATGTTTTCGAAACGTTTGAAAAAGTTTCCAATTCTATTTTCATTTCCAACCTAACCGAAAGAACGTACTGAAACGAAATTTTGATCCTATTAGAGAAGACGGGAAAATTATCACATTTCTCTCTCACAATTGATTTCTTTAACAACAATTTATAACCGAAGTTTGACATTACATATGCACACCCACACAGTGAAACCGAACAAAGTACTACCCAAAATTAACAAACAACAAAAATTAATGGACCAAAAAAAAAAAACAAAAAAACCTAATCATAACTATTATATCTTACAAATAACAAAAAACCAGATAAAAAAAAACCTGATCATAACAGTTATATCTAACGAATAACAAAAAACCTGATCATAATAATTATATGATAAACAAAAAAGGAGTGAATTGAGATATAGAAAAAGTGAACTGAGATACAAAAATCGTAAACTATATCTTACGAATAACAAAATTTGTACCTTTTCAATACCCTACTTTCAGCAATCCCTAATTTCGAAATTTAAAATCCCAAATCTAAAATGAAAACCCTCATTTATGCGATACAAACCTGAATGTGGGTGTTTGCTGAAAGTCTTCCTCGTTTTGTCGGTGGTGTACTGTTGGCTGTTGTTCGTTTGCTTCCTCTTCGTCGTCGGTCTTCCCTTCGGAGTTCGGCTGAGTAAGAATCGCAACTGTGTTGTGTTGGATATCAAAAACGGCTTTCGTAAGTTCAAAGGGAAAATGAGATGGATTTTGTTAAATAATAAAATGGCTTTCCGAAAACCGTTTTATGATAAAATTATTATTTTAGGCAAACAATATTTATAAATTGGGAATTTTTTTTAATAAAAATAAAAACGGTTTTACAAAAACCGTTTTATATAAACTCAAAATTAATTACACCTTAAGTAAAAACGGCTTTAGAAAAACCGTTTTTATGAAGGAAAATTTTATTATTTTTTTATTCATAAAAAACGGCATTGGCAAAGCCGTTTTAAAGAAAACAGGTTTAGCAAAACCGTTTCACCCTATGTTGGGAAAAGAGTAGAAAACACACCCTAAAGTGGGACTAAAATATTTAGAATATCACAGTCAGGGAAATTGGCCCTATACACTGCTCGCTCAATAAAAATTAAAGAAGACAAAGGTTTCAGGTAAGTTGACATTCGGGTTAACATTGTGGATTGGTATTATGAATGGCCACATGCCTCAATTTGTTTTGGGTGTTGGTGGGTTTTTAGGTGAGAGAGAACATCAAAGAGATAAAAAAGATAGAGCTGAAATTAACCATGTTTACAGCCAACTTTTCTCATTAGCAATTAATACAATCTGTAATGCCCCGAAAATTGGGCATGATATATCTATTTATGCAACAAAACCCACCTGATAGACAAACACATATATATAGCTAACTAATCCATACGCCCATTTCCATTAAATGCCAAATACATATTGTTCACATCTCAATGCCCCAGTTCTAATCCCAAACATGCATTTTATAACAAGTATGAAATGGAAGCCAAACAAATAATAAGTGCCCTACAGGCTTACAAATTTATCCAAGAACATTCTTGGTTATACAAAATAGAGTTTTAACTCAATACAAATATGGCCCTGGGCTTACAAAACAGAGTCACGCAAAATGAGAGCATTGTACTCCCAACACACATACTTCCACGCCCCTAGTTGGGTGGAATCACCACATCTTTTCCTGCACAAAAATCCCGTAGGGTGAGCATGAAGCCCAGTAGAAAATTCTTAACAAAGTATATACATTTTATACAAGTCTTAAGAGATGAAATGCACATGCCATGCTATGCCCTTTTTGAAGATAAATTACATTTTCATCTTTTGAAAACCATCATGCTCAATGATGTCATGCAATTTCAATTGTTCAAAACTTAACAATTTATTTCAAGGGTAGTAAATACATCTCTGGTAATCCCTA